CGCCTCCGCGGGAGACATTTCTGACCGTCACCCCCCCCTTGACGGGTTCGTCCCGGGTGGGGGCAGGCCTGGAAAGCGGCCAGGGCGACGCAGAGGACGGATCTGCCCGGCTTAATCCGCTGCACCTGCCCACGGCCACACAGCACCCGCGGCCCAGCGGTGAGGGCCCCGCCAGCCCTCAGAAATAAAGCGAAATTAAAGCTTTAAAGTGCAGGTCAGGCAGCTTTGGCCTGTGGAGGAGAGCAGGGAAATAATTCCCAGTGCTCCACACTGCTCGCGCACCTGAAGAAAAACGGGGCTAGGAGGCACGGCCGGGAGGAGAGAGATTGGGGAGCAAAGAGAGACGCGGCGCAGTGCTCCCTAACTGCGGATTTCGGGTGCCAAGTATTCACCAATGCTTGACGCCATAAAACGTTTAGGCACTCACAGCTGCGTAAAGGGATTTGCTTAAGGTCACACATCATCGCCGGTAGGTTTAAGCACAGAACTCAGAAATCTGGACTTCCCAGTTATTTTAGTAACCAATTGGAGGAACGAAAGTAATAATTTTCAAGAAGGCTTTTCCGGGGGTGCTTATCCAGTGCTGTAAACCTAATAAGGATCTAAATCCAAAGGTTGGTAATCTCTAAGAAACCCATGCAGTGGTAAACCCATTTTCATACAGCTTGAGCTCAGGCTACTTGAGGGGAATTTAACCTGGCTAACAACTCAGACAAGTCGTGCTGTATTTTTATGCGCAATGTGGGTCACTATCAAGATGTTTATAATCTTTTTGTTGTTGTTTTTCCAGTGATAATATTAACTGGAGGGGGAGGCAGAACAAATAATGGGAATGACAAGTGGAAATTACCTCAAGTGAAGTACTGGAAAAGGGAAAAGCTGCAAGTGCTCTCACATCCCAGAGACTTGAAAACTGAAAGAAGTGGAACATGGAGTTGCAGTTGTGATAGTAAACATGATACCAGATGGCTAGAGAAAAGCTAAGATAATTCTTCCATTTCTTAGAAACATTCCATACTTCGGAAAAGGCAAAGAAAAATTGTAATCTAGGAAAATGCAGGCCCGCTATTTTCACCTCAAGGGTACTTTAGAAAAAGAGTTTGAAGTATAACCAAACACGTGGATGTAAGCGAGGTCAAAAGTCACCTTAGTATTGGCAGTTGATGTCTGCCTTTTTTGAGATGCTTGATGTTCTGGGCAAAGCAAATGTTTTATGGCTGATACTGAATAATCGACTTCAGTGCAGTGCCTGAAATGGAAATTATTAACAATTCTGAAGACGACTAGAATTTAGGAGAACTTCAATGGAGATAAAGCGCAAGCATAAGGGGAAACGGTTGAGTTGAATGGAAATTACTGGGCTGAGAGAGGTTACCGATGACATCCTGGGGTGTCATTCTTGGAACTAATCTTTGTTTCATAGATTCCTTCAATGATTTTGTCAGAAAAAAACAGCAAACTGATGAGATTAAAAAGAAAAAGGAGGGGCGGGGGGAGAATTGCTGTTAAAAAGGAATGAACTAATAAGATTGATGTATGGGATCATCATATGGAAGTGACTGAGGAAGAGAAAGATGCAATTGTAGGTGACAGCTACACAATAAGCATCATTACCAATACGATGCAATGGCATAGAAAGCAAACACTTATTTTAGGATGTGTAACTGGAGAGTTTTGGCAGGAAAGTGTTCATGCCTGCAGGTTCTGCCATCTCCTTGGGAAATTGCATGCGGTTCTGACCACCATTCTTCAATGAGAGGCAGCTAATCTAGCATGTCCACAGATTATTTGCTAGCAGAGTCAAGGAAAAGAACAGTCTATTTTAGGAGGTTACTAGTGCATAGCTTGTTTAATGCAGCAGAATGAAGGCTGAGACAGAGGGTATGGTTGCCATCTGCCATAAACCATGGAAAACGGTATGTGAATTCAAAGGTAATGTTGAATATGAGGATAAAACTGCATGTATACTTTCATGCTAGAAAATGAAAGCAAGCACCTAGCAAAGCATCTCAGGTTCCAGAACGTCCTTCTGGTTGGAGCAGACCTGTTTATCCACCCGCAGTCAGGACATTTCCCTCTTACAAAAAAGGCTACCAGTCATTGTCAGTCTTTCCAGCCCTGCCCATTATTTCCCAAGGGACATGCCACCCTTCCTCCCTCCAAGCATCAGCCAGCGCCCCGCCATGTAAATTGCCCTTTCCAGTTTCTTCTAGGTGTGCCAACTCCCAGCTCCTCATATCACATCCACCGCTTCTGGATCCACAGCCTCGAGTGTAGCACTTTATCAAGAGCCACTGGGCTCCTGTCCAGTTAGTGCCCAGGCACTGAAAGCAGATCACCTTCACTCCCGAGTAAATGCCTGCTCTACACACACACGTGTCAGGACTTGCACCAGGACTGCTGCGGAGCACACCATACTGCCAGGTAGCAGCTGCCACACTCCAGGCTGCCTGTGGGTTTGATGTGGTCTCACGCAGCTATCAGTGCACATGTTGTGGTTTGAGACACGCTGTGAGAGGAAGCCAGGAGCAATGCTGTATTTGTCTCAGTTTTCAGGGAAACCCTGAGATGCTTTAGGTGAGGGAACCCACTGAGAACTGGAAGAGGCACGAGGCTAAATAGCTGCACTCTTTTCTATAGCATCTTGGGATATTTTTCAGGAATACGAATCACCTGGACCTCACTTCTAGATTCCAAATCAACACTACCACCTTCCACTAGAAATGACAGAAGCCACTGCCTACCTGTTAAATTGCCAGTCCCTCACCTGACAGAAACTTGCTTTCCTTGAAATTGCTCCACAGCCGCAAACCTGCTTCCACTTGTGAGAACTGCTGTAACCATTGCCTGGGCTAATGGGACTGTCCCCTCGTAGTTTTCTAGATTTGTATAACTCTGGAAATCTATACTTAAAGCTTTATGCTGTGTCACACAATTCTTCGTCCTAACTCTTACCTTTTGCCAGTCCCTGTCTTAACCATTGAAACCAGCAGTGAATGTATTAGTTACAACAGATAGCAAGCTTTTAAATACCCGTGGATTTCTTACTAAAGAGGAACTATAAGTGACCAGAATACACATTCCAAAAATAATAGACAAATGTAAATCTCACAAAACTATCGCTGACCTCAAGTGGTCATACAATTTTTCTTGACTCCTTTGGGTCATCTGAGTGTACCAACAGCCCTGTGCAGGCAAACACCCCAAACTGACTCGCTTTAATTTTGTACTTAGATTTCTTCTGCTGTCAATTCCTTTATAAAGTATTTTTGCTGGAGAAGGAAACTGGTTTCCTACCTGTTTTCAACAATTTTTTTTTTCTTCTCCTGCTGCTGTTTAAAAAAAAAGGGCTCTGATTCTACAAAACAGTTTTTTGAAAGCATTGAGTTCATATTTATTGCCTCATGCAATCCGTCTGAAGCAATTTACTTAGAAGTTAGAAATAAAGAGAAGGCACGAGTTGAGCTTCAGACAGCCTGTTCTGAAAAGTTTATCCTTGACCCAGAATCAAGATGAATTTTGTCTTTCACTTGCACCATCACCACTAATAAAGGCTATGTATAGACTTACTGGTTTCATTTAATGCTTTGCAACTAGATTTACTTCAAACCATGATATTCCTATTCCTTACCATTGTCAACAGGTTTCCACAGGGGAAACAGGATGAAGCTTTGTAAATCTTTCTGTCAGTGATTACAGAAAGGAGAGAATCTATTCCATCTCCCAGAACAGCGTCAGCTCTGCAGGAGAAGCTGACATAAAACCCAGCAATTTCTTATTTATTTAGCGATATCTAGGCCAACAATATGAAGAGCTCCCTGGTTATATTCAAATTGCTGATACAAAAGAAACCTGCTTTTTCTTCTTTCAGAGTAAAATAGCTCTTTAAAGTTGTTGTTATCACTCAAGGTCTCTGTAGTTCCTCAGTGAGCAGAAATTCAGTTTCCCCAGAAGTCATCCACAAATACAAACCTTAAATTTTTAAGACCCGGTATAAGCATTTATGTGCATTCCACTTTTAAAGCCCGCAATGTCTCAAAAGCAGTCCCTCATTATCATTTTTCCTTGTTTCCATAATTTTTAAGCTTATGGTACTAGTTTCACACTGAAATTTCATATAATTTTTAATCAACTGATTCTTCCTTCATGAAGCCCTAAAATCCATCCTGTGGTTACGGCATTGGTAACACCTCTGGGGTCTGAGTAGCACAGATCTCTGTCCAGGGTCAGGCCTTATTCTTGCCTTTTCTAGGGCGCTTCCAGTGCCACTTTCAGACTAGCCTTCGGTTTTCATCATCTGTTGCACCAACTATGTCTGACAGGGTTTGAGCATTTAAGTTCTTCCCTCGAGGAGTGCTACGTGACCAGGCAGCTCCCTCGGAATTAGAATACTGCCAATTTTAACAGTAGGAGGAAAGTATATGAAAGGAAGAGCAGAGGCAATTTACACACAACCCATATGCAAAGGAAAGTCTCCTTTAATCCTTAATTATCTTATGTTTGGTGCTTTCCTAGGGTCTGTTCCTCAAACAGAGTTTTGTCTTCATCTGGGGCACTTGTAAAATTGCTCGAGTCAGCAAGTAGACAGGTAACAACACTTGGGGCAGCTACTTGAACATAACCAACTGTTTCCTTTTCAAC